TGGTGTTGTCAGGTTTTTTGTTTGCTTTTAGCCATCCTAGTGGGTGAGGTTAGTATTGTGTTGTTGTTTTATTTTGCATTTAATTTAATTTACATGTTCCTCTTGACTGGTGTTATTGAGCACCCTCTCACATATTTATGGGCTGTGCCAAAACTTCTTGAATTGTAGGAGTTATCTCCCTGCTTTACAGACCAGCTGTTGTCATTTTTGATTGCTGAGGAATTCTCTTTGCTCTCCAGTTTTGCCCTTTGCTTTCTGTGCCTTGAGGGCTCTTTCAGCCCTACTGTTCCATCTTTGGCCTATGTAGGTTGACTGTTGTTGCTCTGTATTCTGTGAAGGTGGGTCTTGCCTCTGAGAAGTTTCTCTTGGCTTTTCTGTTACTCCCCCCACCCACTCCCCAAATCCCGCAGCCTTCCCTAGTGAGAGCCTAAAGTACTTTGGGGAGATTTTCTCAGCTTTCTTTTCTTGCCCTCAGTTTTGGTGAAGACTGGTGGGAAGAGTACTAGTGAGTGAGTGTGTAAGTAGTGGGGGACGGTTTAGTATAGTCTATCTTTGTATCTGTGGCTCCTCTGGATTCTGCACTGGTATGCCGGTACACACATAGCTTTCAAAGTTAGCCCGGTTTCTCTTTAACCTTTCTCCATGGCCATTTTCTTGTCCTATCTATTTCAGTCAGGGATGATAGCAGCCAAGAATCTCTTTTAAAATGGACTTGGCATTCTTTGGAGTTGATTTAGGTTTCCTGTGTCTTCAGTCTGTGATGGATTTTAAACACTATGATTATATAGCTTATCTAACTTGTTTTAGTTGTTAGGGTGAGAGTGATGATCTCTTTTGACTTTCTATTTTCAAACTGGAATTAAGACCCCCTTCGCTCTAAGTGGCTTCTACAATTTGGTTTTGGTTCCTCCATGCCTCCTTTCTGTTGCCTTTTAGATTACTTGAATATGTTTTAATGTTCTATTTTATTTTCTCTATTGGTTTTTCTCTAGAGTTGACAATATGCACCTTTAACTTATTACACTTACAATATTG